CATTACTGATTTACCACACAAACAAGGGAAAAAATAATGATAAACATTATGAACAGAGTTATAATGATTCTGCACAGACTTTAAAAGTTTATAATCGGAAAGAAAAATGCTTCATTTTGACTGGTCACTGCTTGAGATATAGTTTCAGGGACAATGTCTATATGTAAAAACACGAGGAAGGCATTGCGTTATCATATCAAGGAAACAACAGAATCTATGATAAAACTAAACTGCAATAAAAGTAGGCCTGGAATTCCGTTCAGTAAAATCTCCAGTTATTCTATTTTAAGATTGGGTGATAACAAATCTCCAAGACGTTATTCTATTTTAAGCATGAAGAGTGAAAGTGTCACGGAAGAGGTGTCAACTTTGAACTTTGATGGCTGTGCACTCAAACAGCGCTTGCAGCCTGACTTATGTCGGGTCTCTACTGCCTCCAGTTACATGTCCTACACACACATGCACGCGAGCACGCACAGACACATAACACACAGAAACACAGACACAAACACGCACATAGAATCTACACATACACACACACCGACACACACACACGCACACACGGTACAGATATGCATGCAAACACAAAAACTGTTAAGACTAATAATGTGTGGGCTCTGTTACCTTTTCATGCGAGCGTAAGCTACGTGTTCCAAAAGTTTATGCTCGTAAGATCCCGCCAGATGCCAACAGCAACACATTTGAGAAATTCAAATAAGCCTAGATCTACAGTAATAAATTATTATTTCAAGCAGTTCAAGTCTCACACTTCAAAGCAAGTCAAGCAGTACACACTATTATCACTTGCCCGGCTCTCTTATCTTACGGGAACACAGACGTTTCATGAAAAATGCCAAGGGTTGATTGTCACGATCACTGGCAACATGCGAAGTCCAAAATAGGACATGTGGAGCGGAGTATGTCGGTTTCGCCTCTTTTTTATATGGACGCTGGTCAAAATTTAGTTACCAGGTCGAGGACACTAAAGTTTCCCCTGCTGATGAAACCACGGCCCACGTTGCCGCACTGTAGGGTGTGAAGATTTATTGTCTAACGTTATGACAAAACAGCTCGGCTATGCCGCCTTTTAATCCATGCGATGTTTAGGATAAAGATGTCGTTTCCATTCCGAACATTACACACAAAGTTTATCTAGTACATTAATGTCATGATCATAGTAGGCCATATATAGTATGTGAATTCGCGTGCACGCTGTTTGCGACCGTATACATTTATCATACCATGTTTGTCATATTATTACTATACTATTTAATTCTCTCTCTCTCTATCTCTCTCTCTCTCTCTCTCTCTCTCTCTCTCTATCTATCTATCTATCTATCTATCTATCTATCTATCTATATCCCTCTCTCCCCCTCTCTCTCTCTCTCTCTCTCTCGCTCTCTCTCTCTTTCTCTCTCTCTTAGAAAATGTATAAACATTCTTGATTTATATGTAAAAATATAAATCAATATATCTATCTATAAAATACGTAGAGAAAGAGAAAGAGGGAGACAGACAGACACACACACACAGAGAGAGAGAGAGAGAGAGAGAGAGAGAGAGAGAGAACGTCCACAGGAAACTTTAAAATGAATTCACACATTTGTAGTAAAGCCTTGAACTATCCACTCTCGCAGCATACCAAATTCAAGCTAAAAATGAATTTAGACGAATGCTGCTTCTATGGTAAAAGAATCTTGAAATAATATGATTAGTCATAATCAATCTTGAAGCATCAACCTTGGCTAAAAATTGTACAATCAAAGAAACTTAAAATTAAGTCTGTTTACCCTTGCATTTGGGTGCATCAACATTGGTGATGAAATAAACAGAACAATGTGTCGATCTCAATAGTGAAGAAATATTTATTAAGATAGATTCAAACAGATTTTAAAATACAACAACAACAACAAACAGTGCGGTCACATATATCACATGAAAAACTGAACTCAACCTGAAATGGTGTATAGGGGCCACTGGTTTTGTGTAGAGCAGAAAGCCCTTTTGAGCGTGGACTGTTCAAATTTGGACACAAAATTACCTGTAAAAATAAGCAAGCAGGCTACGAAACTGTCTTGATATCGGATGGTCTCGAGAGAAAGAACGTAAGGCTTCAGGCGGGGGATTACATCACGAGTACTGAAAGGTTACATTTTACCGTTGGTTCTTAATTGTTTCATTCAAAAAGCCATCTTATGCACGACAAAGCACCTTTTCACAAGACTAACGCGGCTAGATAATTCTCGAAAAACAAAACATGCCATCCATGGACTGACCACCAGTAAATTATCCCCGCATGGATTGTTTAAAAAATACATGGACATGAATGTGCAGCCTCGTGAAACGTGACGTTGCTACCACTTCAGACATTTTATTTGAAACCCTCTATATGCCTACTCTATGACATTTGGGATAAAATGGCATACTAATTCAAGAGACCATGCATGCGCGATGGGGTGCTCCACCCGAAACCAACGTCTCCTACAACAAAATACATTATATACTAATTGAGCGCATTCGGTGTTAAGTCCAGTTTTTCTTTAATGTGGTATTTGTGACTGCCCTGTCTTTCAATCTGTTTGAATTTCTTATTGTTCATTGGGAGAAGGATTTGATATAAAAGCATGTACATTCCAACAATGTGATGTACCCCAATAATACTAACAAAGCACTCTTAGAAAGGACCAACGCGATTAGGTTAATCAATTCTCAAACAAACTTTTAAGTTTCTCCTTCTTCACGGTTTTGCCAAGCCTGATTGTTAAATTTAATTCTGACTGACTGTAGTTGGGCTACTCTTATGGTAGGTGTAACATGAATAAGTCGCTACTCTAAAGGTAGATTAATGTGTCAGGCGATGCAGAATTTATATATAATTATATATATATATATA